TCTCGCGCGTAACCGCAAGTAGCATTAATTCGTAAGAGTTTATATTCCTCTCGTATTTTCGAAGAGAGACGAACGATAAAGTGGATGCGGTTCTTTCGGGATCTGGAGGTTAACCTAAGACGTTCTCCCTTCCCTGGCCTGTCCCTTCGTCGCGCGGCCCTTTCCCAGCTTTTCCTCTCCAGGGAAATCATTTTCATTTAAGATCGTACACTACGACACCGTCCACGACCAAGCCGCCGTAGAACTCTCTCGCTCTCTCGCTTGGAATAAATTATTACCTGCACATCGACATGCGACTTCTTCCCCCCACGGTACGTTTTACAAACATTTCTCGCGCCGCGATAAAAATAAGCGTGGAAGCTGTGTCTATTCAAACGGCGGATCGCTTTCAACATACTGTTATCGAACGTTGCTGTTGTTCAATGAACGCCGAACGAGAGCTTTTTTTCACTTCATAAACACGTTATTATGTGTTTCCTTTCAAACAATGCATACGAAAGAGTACAATCAAAGATCGCAACCAAAACTCGCGCGATTATGGATAATACACGCTCGTTTATATATAAATATATGCGTATACGCACACATAATATACCAAGCAAACGTAATACTTCAATTATATCCTGATTTATTGAATAACAATAGTAAGAGTTAAATGGTGTAAATATATATATAGAAGTAATATCGAATTTGCTTAATTTCTCAATCAAGCGGTTTACACATTGCCGTCTTCTCTGCCCATTGTGATCAAAGTGCATCCCAAAAAATTTAACGGTGTTTTCGTGAGCGAAAATTCAGTTTGACACAATCGGACGGCGTTTCGTTTTAACGAAGTCATGTTACATAGAACGAAGCGAGGCGGCGCGGTTTTGTACGAAGGATCAAAAAATACACCTGTCACGGCGTGAAATCGGAAAAAAATCGGCACGATGATCCGAAACAACAGAAAACAGTAAGCCTGCGTGACTGAATGCCACAGATTGCCAACAAATCCCTGCGAAAACTGTGTCATGTAAAACTTGCAGTTTCGCCATTGACCACGAAATATACGATACACAACGGCGCATTGGTGCATCACGATATGTAGTCGTTCGTAACAAAGCTGCATTTAAAGAAAAGCTTCCTGCAGTAGTCTGTGAATGCATAAAGAAACTTTATAAAGATTTTCAAATTTTTTTTTAATATCACGTCGAAATAATCAAAACAAGTTACTTTTATCTACGTTGCATTATAAGAAAATCAATCAAATTCCAGAAATAATTTAAAAACTATATATAATATACGATAAAAACGTAAATATACATGTTATTTTAAAAAGTATTTTTACATACAATTATTATTAATTTTCAAATCATCGTATAAACGCCTATGGCACTTTTCTGTACGTTAAACTAATTTATTAAAATTGCATGTATTTTTAATTGTGCTGAATATATTCCATATATCTCTATTTTTCGCGTCTTTTTTCTTATTTTCATGCGGTTTTTGTAACGAAAACAACGCTTATACTTATTAAATTTCTATATTATCTTTTCTACCGCGTTTTCTCTTTGCATTCGACAGTCTTTTTCGCCGTTTGAAGATTGACCGAGGCAGGAAACATAACTATCGAAACGATCGATATTCCCGAATAATAATTCGCTTGTCCCCGAAGATTCAACGATTTCCCGACGTACAGTTCCGACAAATCGGTGCGGTTGAGCCGCCGGGAGTACTGGGACGACCATAAAGCTCCTTGCCACGGGGTGAATCGAAGCGCGGTGTCCGCGATGTAAATCTATGCATAGCTTTTGTTCCCCCGTCGTACACGCGTTGCCCCATTCGCAAAAGTTTTCTTATTGCTGTATTCGAATATTCGAATACGGCAAAGGTGTATAGCGAAAGAGATGGTATGCTTTATCGCTTTGCTTTTCTCTTTCCTTATGTATAATTTGGGAATTTTATCACTCATTTGATTTAGAAATACAGTAGAGTCATCAAAAAATATATAACTGTTTATTTGATTTCATTTGTATTAATTTGTATCCTCTTCAAGGATTGCGTACGATTTTTGATAATTTTAATTTAGAGTAAGGTAAATTTAGAGTAAGTAAATTTAGAGTAACGAGTAAGATATTTTGTAATGTTGATAATTATAGAAATGTTTAAAATTTATAACATTTCAACAATTCGCAATAATCAATTACTGCGAATTGGAATACAAATGTATTATGTAATAATATATTGCAACAATATATTATGGAAAAATATATACAGTATTTTTTCTTCATTCCTAATTTCAGAGCATTATGCCGTTATTTTAACAATATAAAACATATATCTTCAAGTAATAAATAATGATTCTTAACGTATACATATTATACTTTAAGATTATTAAATTTTTTATAGACCATCAGTCAGAGTCCAAATCCATTTGGAAACAAAATGTGATTTATAAAAAATTAATATTGCAATTTTATGGATTTACCAATTCACACGGACGGAATAATTCGATGAAAGCTTATTAATCGCGTATGCAAACTATGAGGCGCAACTTTTCTCTCAATACCATAAAATAACAGATATCATGGCGCCTTTTTGAAGCGTGAACGAATTACGGGTTAAATCATTGAGCGCTTTCCAATAATTGCCACGCTGACTGAAGCCTGACCGCCATTTAGTGGACCGTACATACAGAGCGATCGTTCAGCGTGTAAAAATACGCGCCACTTTTGACATCATAATGAGATTGAGCGTCATTATAAGCGCATAAACACGTTCGACGCTCAAAAGGGGATAAAACGCGGCTTAATTATGTGCAATTAAACCCGGATGGCACGAATAGATAACAGAGTCCCAATGAAAACGATGTACCCGCTAATGGATTAAAGTCCAATTTTCTTCTCGTACAAACGACCTAACAATTACTGACGAGAGTATCATTGACAAATACATTGACGATACGACCGTCAACATTGAAAAATAAATAGCAATGCTTTACGCATGCTTTAAAGCCATTAATATCACAAAGAAATAATTGGGATTATATCGCGCTTATTCAAGCGTAATAATTAACAAAAGGCTAATAATCTGATAAAAATACAATGTAATAAATTATAATTGCATAATGCTCTCTGCAATGTTGATAATGCATATCGTCATTATTATCAGAATATAATAATATATTTCCACAAATTCATTAAAAGCGGAATATTAATCTCTTAATATTTTTATACAATCAATATCTACGTGATACGCGAGATAAATAAATATCTCGGGGGAAATCGACCTGAATATCCAACACAATTATAAAATGTCTCATTGCGCGGAACTTCTTTTACAAGGCTTCTCTGCAACGATCGCTTGTAAAAGCTCCGACCGGCATTTGAAATTGCGTGTGCAGCTCCTGAAGACTCGACTGAAGAAACACCGAGGCGGAGTCGTTAAACTTATCGTCGCTGTTAATGAGTAGGGACTTGTAAAGAGACAGCCAACAGCATTTATCTCTCGTCGCGGCTCTTTGTGACGCGGACTGCAATCAACGGTGTAAAGGAGTTCGGTCTACAAACCCCTTACATGACTAACTTCGTTGCATCGAGACTTTCCTCCTTTATCTCCCACGCACAAGAAATCCCGAAAGACATTCGGCATTCCGCGCTTAAGAAACTTACGTCTTCTTCTAAACAGGCCACGTATTCTCTTTTGTTCTTTCATGCATTTCGTTCATTGCTTCAGTCACGTCACGTCTTTAATCATCGAGCGTGCACGGGGCAGTCGAGGAAAACAAACTTTAGTTCTTTGAGTAAAATCTTTGAGGGACCGGTGGTGAATCGTCTGAAAGACGATTATTGTACGATCGTATTTTTTATTGCTGAAGCTGGTGTTGTAAGCTTCAGTTTATATATGAATAAACAAAAATTCTAATGCGAAAATATCTACGGTACAATAATTTTGAGTTATATAAATAATTAAAATTATCCAATGATATCAAAAGTTCGCGCAAAGTTTAGATTTGTATAAGTTTAAATCTATCGCGATCTATTGAATGTTATAAATTTCTTTAATTCGGAGGTAATACTGATTTACTAATTTTCCATCATTTGGTTTCTCTTATTACATGCAGATACTATGCTATTGTACATAACTGCAGCAATCAACTGATATTGATTAGCGATAGCGAATTTTACTGTAACACACCTATCATCTAATTCTATGTATCACATACATATATCGCAGAGAAACGTTTTCTTTCTATTCTTCCCGTATCTTTTAAACTGAAAATTTGATGGAAATATATTACATTATTATTTCTAATATCTCGTCAATTCTCGGAGTTTGATAATAAACTGAATCATAAATAAGGAAGATAATCAAACACATATCTGCCTATATATTTAATCATTTCTTTTTTAATATTCTTTTTCCTAAAATGGATTGAGCAATGACCCTATGAGACATTATATCTACTTATAATCCGCACGAATATAAAAAACGGGCTAACTAAGAACCAGGCGCGGTAAATAATGCGCGAAAGTTTTATTTTTATTTTTATTTTACATATCTTCCAACCTGGCCTCAGTGGTCGAATTGGTACGACACCTTCACGGAATGAAGAAAGTTCCAGGTTCGAACCTGGCTGAGGTAATATTTTTCGCAATGATTTCTTTACAGTTATTTAGATGCATATAGCATCAAAAATTAAAATCGAATTGATTTAATTAGGTGTAGGAGGTGGGGGGATTTTATTACTCCAACCGGAGCTGTGTTTCAAGTCTGACAAATTTAGTCGGCACTCAGTCAAGGTTGGAAGATATGTAAAATAGAAATAAAAATAAAACTTTCACGCATTATTTACCGCGCCTGGTTCTTAAGTTATGGGACCTATACTTCGAATTCTATTTATAATATTTTTATATTCTAAACTTGATGTTTTAATTACACATATCTTCTCTATTTATAACACACTATTTTTTCATAGATTCATTCCCTCAAATGGAAATCAAATATAACTTAACACTCACCGATACGATGCGCAGCAGCGCGGAATTGTAGCACGACTACGTTGATCTGTAAAATACAAATATATCCAGATTTAAAAGCGGCTTCAAGCTATTGTTTCAAAATATAATTGCGCACATTGAATTTTTACATATTTTTCTTTTGAGTGAAGATATTCATTAAAATAATTATATAATTTCCAAAAAATAACTAATTCTTCAGATTTATGAATAATAAGTAATTAATAAAGTTAACAATATTATTTAAATACATAATAAACTCACTTTATGGTTGCTCCGCCGGTGCCCGATGCCTCCCAAGCCTCCTCCTCCTCTCAGAAATTCCTTCTCGCACTTGCGCAACACTCACTCGCGTAACTCAATCACACGGCACTTTGTTCGACATTTCTGAAATAAATCACAAGCGGATTGTATTTTATTATATTGCGACGGAATAAAATATAGAAATTGTACAAATTTATTATTTGCTTAGCATTCACGACATTTTGTAAATTATAATCTGAATTTCCACGAAATCTCAAGAAGGAGATAGTTTTAAGGAATCATTGATGTACAAACGCTGAATTTATATTATGTAATTGGTGAATATTAAAATGCGAATGTAATTGCGCAATTGTACTTACTAATTAAACTATAAACTCGCGTTGCAACGAACTTGGAGTTAAATGCTTTTCGTGACCGTGACGCTTTGTTAATAACCGAAAAATTCGTAAATGGTGTCGATATCTTCACACCAATATCGCGCAATACAATTAATGAAGTCGAGTTAATAAACTAATTAAAACGCGATAGACCGGCCGAAAATATACAATCGAAATTTCAGTATTGCGCAATACATTTGGAATGCGTGAATCCCGCTAAATAAACGTATTATTAATAAATGGTCAATATATCGTGGCTTTCCGGTACTTGAATCATTCGATTCGGTGGTTCGCTTATAACTCGGCGCTTTCAATCCGAAAACGATGAACAAATTACATTTTATAGGATCGATGAAAAATGCGAACCGAAATACAATGCGAATATCGTTAAAGAAATAGTTATGGCCCGTAAATATCGCAATAATTCGAGGCAATAATTTCCCTCTTCCGTCGCTTCGATTTGTGCTTTAAACGATTAACATTAAACAACGCTAAACGTGAAATATTCACGTCGATAATTATTTTCGTCATCTTAATATACTTATGTATCGTTAAGCATAATTATTAGCTAATTAACGCGAATGGATAAATGTGAAATGAGAGAGTTAGAGAAAGAGTGATCGCGTATATTTTTGTCGCGATCGCGTCTCGAAAAGCAATACGACGATATGCGGAGCGGCACGCACCGCGACTTACTCGCTCGATCGTTTCCGCGTGAATGATAGCGCGGCGACCTTGTTTACGCAGCACAGGTCTGTAAGTACGTCACAAACTACAAGAGTCAAAACCAAGACTGCCGTCCCGAAATATTCTTCCAAATATTATAACGCTTTATAAACTAATACATTCAAGCTGATGAATATTTTATTTCTTTTCAAACAAATTATTAATATATGCTCGATGTACATGGCACGCATTATGGATATTCGTTATTAAAATTACTTAATACGATGTACTTCGCGGTACCTGTGAGAGCGCGATAGACAAATTATACGAAATATACAAAGATTTCGTGTACGTAATATGTCATGCGTACTCGACTCTGTTTGCAAAACGAGCGCCGAAAACTGTGTAACAGCCGTTATAAAATGTAACGTATTACAAAATAAATTCATATATAGATATTCTATTTTTTTTTGTTTAAGTTAATTTGAAAGCATTATTTTACACGCGCGACGCGCTTTGCTTCATAAACTTGTTACCCTATGGAAAAATTATTAATTTTGGAACAATTAATTGTAAAATTATTTTTAAAAATTACATCTATTTTGCATGCAACAGCTAAAATTCTAATACTAATTATGTATTATATAAAGTGGGTTTAATTTCCAGAATGTGCTATTAAAAGATTGTACAGTAGTACTTTCTATAAGAAATATACGTAAGTTCCGTAGATAGTAAAGGGACCAAATGTCGCGATCCGCCGCAAAACCCAATAACAATGTCGATACGTTGCAACCGAGTACTTTCCACCATTACGACGTTTTTTAACCGCCGAGATGGACGCAAAACCTTTTTATTTCTTTCGTGAACGGACGCGCCGACGTGGTGAAGTATAAAAGAGCGAAGTAACGGAAGAAGCCGTCGTTGAAGTCGAAGAAAGACAAACCACTCGGTCGTGACGAGTCGTAAGTTTCCGCAGCCGGTAGTACCGGGACTCTGGAACGAAACTAATCGAAGAGCATGACGCAGAAGCCTCTCATCCGTGGAGGGTCGCCGCTATTGACTTAGCAAAGTTTGGATTGCCGTGCGGATAAGACGCGCAGCAGAGTCAGCAGGCGACCTGCGGAAGCTTCCAGCGGAGCTTCAGCCTCATCCTCGTCTTCACGCGTATTCGGTAACGAAACTTCCGGTCGCGCAGTCTGCGTTTAAAGCGACCGGCGGCGAATTACGACGACGGCCGGACATGGACCTGCACTAAAACCGACATTAATACTTGTTCTGTCGAGACTCGCGAAAATACCAGATTCGACGTGTACAAGCGTTTGCTTTTGAACGGATAAATGTCTTCCCTTTGCGTTTTATAATACTCGTAGTTATATTAAAATTATATATTGAAGATATAATCCAAAAAGTTAAGTTATTGATAAAATACACAAGTGCTTTTTAACGCACTTATTATTAAAAAATTTAAAATATATTTATTTTTAGTCGCGTGTAATGATAATTATTTCACATAAAAGATGGCATATATATATTTCTTTTCTTATTAATAATTTCATATAATAGATATTATTAATTGCAAATTATTTAAAAAAACCAAGCTCATAAGCGTTAAACAAGCCAAAATATTTAATTCCAAATTAGAAATAATGTTGTCTAAAAAATTGAGAATTGCGAAAATATAGATTTATATAAAGAATAGAAAATATTCTAAGCAAGCTAAATAGTAATAAATTATTATAAATACAATATTGTCATCAGTTTTTCTTAGCTTTGCGTAGAAACAATATAAAAATATCAAATAAAGAAATATACTTTCCAAAGTTCATGGAAATTCGAAGGGAGTGACAGATTAATCATCCACGTTGCTTTGCCCGAGGAAAGAGTTCCTCGTACAAATGTCAGGAAAAGTCAAGTCAAAGGCAGAATCGGAGAATGCATTTATATCGTTCGCGAAAGACAACGCGGCGCTCGTTGTCTCGTTAAGTCGACAGAGATCGAGCGTTCGTTCCTTTGGTCTGCGAGAAGGAGCATCGTCCCTTTTCAATACGTCAACCCCATTCAACCTCCGGGGACTCTGGAATCTTTTCTCTGAGGTGGCTCACGAAGACATCCTTTGCATAAAGGAACACGGTCGGCTTTGATAAAGAGAAAAAGACAGAGGGACCCGAAAAATAACGATGCTGCGGTACGCATATACATGGATAATTCGTACGTGGAAAATATCCTTCAAACTTGATTAACGATTTCTGAGTATGCGACGCTGCATGCAAAACACGAAACAAATAAAGCTTTCGTCGTTTTTCGTCATGTTTAATTTACAAGAACAAATTATCCACATACATACACACGTATATATATATATATATATATACACTTTAAATGTAATTATAACTAGTGTTATTCTTAACTGCACAATCATATATGTATTTTACTACGATAGAGCAAAATGCTCGTACCTATCAAACATGAATATTCTCTAATTATATCAAAATAAAATATTCCTTTAATTCTTATTGTCAAAAAAATATTTCTGTAATGATCTCAATAATTAGATAACCTGTTAGCGACGATAGAATATCAAAATTCAAACCGCGGACCAATCAGAAAAGTGCGAGATTGTTTTCCGCAATTGTTCGTGTTAAGTAGAAACAGATGTATCTCTCCAGACATTATTTAGTAATTTTAGTATGTCGAAATTCGTTAATAAAGCGCTCGCTATAACTTGATTTTCGCGACCGAGTCGAGGCTTGATGGCGAGCGAGCACGTGAAAACGTGGGAAGGAACGGGATGAATGCTATCGTTTCGCGATAATGGCCGTAATGACGACGATAATGCCTCGACACATGCGCCGCGGAGAACCGGCGGCTTGATATATCATTTAAATCACGACCGGTATCATTACGTACGGATGCTCCTCGTCGTAACAACGATTCCGACCACAGAGAGTGCCGGAGTTAAGCGCACCCTATGGAGAAGACGCTCGTGCGGTGTCGTTAACAATGTCATCTCCTTGTCGTCCACCTACGCGAACGACTGAATATGAAGTAAGCGGGTGCCACACGACGAGTCGTTTGCGGCAATAACGATAGCCCCAACGGTAATAACCCTCTTCGTTTATACACATTGATGGAGCTCTACCATTGCCAACGAGGAGGCATCATACGTGGAATTACGAGCGTTCGCTTTGTCTCTATTGTGAATGGAAATTTCAGAGTTATATTTCTTACATATATAGCGATATGGGTTCTGAGTAAACTGATCGTTAAGTAGCCTTCTTTACGCGTGGTGTGGTTTAATAGGTGCCTATCTATTCCTTCCTAATCTCCTTTTGTTTTCAAACATAATAATAATTCAGTTACACTGATACAATAATAATTAGCGAGGTACAATTAATGTTATATAATAATTACTCTTGTGGAGTGTCAGTTTCTCAGAAAAGATTTAAAAAAACCTATCTGTATGTTTGCATTCTAAAGTTAAAATAAAAATAAACAATTAATAATTTTAAATCATAAAAATATGTTGTTATACATATATACGCAACAAGATATAACAAATGCTATGATTCTGAGTTTAATTAATCGTATGTCACAGCACCTTTTTTTCATTAGACACATATATTGAGAAACGTTTTTTTCTATTAATGTACTGAATAATATTTTTTTATAAAAAACTCTCTTTCCTTTACATAAATTCCTAAACTCTTCAACTTTAAACTCATGTAACCATCGACATCTGATCGACAAATCGCCCCTTCTTCAATTTCAAACTATTATTGGGCAAACAGGTTGTGTTTGCAATTGTTAATATTTTCCCAATTTCGAAAACCACGACCGTTTATTTACGCAATAGAAAATTCTCGGATGATCCTGAGGGATTATCGTCAGATTTAAATCATACGCATCCGCGTGAGTGAATCATTTCAGTCGTGTATTCGTTTGCAAAGTCAAATTAATTCGTATAATCTTCGTTATCGCACAAAGCGGAGTGCATAAACCTCCGGTGCTTGCTAACCAATAATAGAATTTCTCTCCTCCGCCCGTGTTATTTCCGAATGAAATGGATAATACCAATTTCCACAATGCACGTTGCAAATGCATCGCGCTCAATAGATTTGACGCTCTCTAATGTTTAACGTCCGCCGGTTTATTCATTGACTTCAAAAGCGCGACCATTTGCTTAAGCAGTGAAGTTTTTCCGTTTCTATATGTGACTCGATCGTATTGCACACTCGTTTATTTTTACTGCCATCGGATATTTATTTTGAAAATTTTTTAAACAGCACTACAAATAACAATCTTACATAAAATTGGATGTTGTTTTCCAGAGTAGAGAGATATTGAAAATTGTTTTTAACAGTACAAATATATTCGTTATATATTTGCCGTTTTAATTTAAAACAACGCGTTTCGCGAGGCAAATCCTCTCGATTTAATATTACGCCAGATTGCGTTTCCGCGATAGACAGTATTTTCTTAACGGACTAAAATCATGGGGCGCGCGCATGTTTTCTCTGGGTTGAGAGAAATCGCGATCTTTCTTGTTTCTGTATTTTCCAAGCGAAGTAAACTTATCTACATTATTCAAATGATCCTTCGGAGTTCTCGTTTTAGCCTCGTCCAATATTACTCGCAACCGCCACAGTGAGAGGAGACGGAATTCATCCCTGTACCGCGGGGATCAGCGTCGCAATGGATTAAACTATGCACGGCCATGTCGGGAATGCGTTGATAACATTATGCGCATCTTTTTCCCTCATGAATGTCGCCGAGATGCGGACGGACGGAACGAGTGGATTTATAACGGAGGCGAAAGATTCCCCGCCGCCCCTCCCCTCCACCGCCATCCCCTCGACAAGACCACCGTGCGTAATATTCATTCTGCGAGATACGTTCCTTGTAACACAGGGCGGAAAATCAAGGTTCTATACCGCGCGAGTTACAATCCTCCCCCACAGGCTGTCCTTCGTCGACTTATTATTCCGCATTGTTCCAATCGCCCTACTACGTTCTTCGTCTCGGTATCGCGCGTCCATAACACGCGCGCGAATCGCGTCCAATTGGGCATGTATCGCGCGCGAGCACGATTAAATTCACTCGCCGGGCGAGAGAGGAAACTATTTCGTAACTTGGCCCGCTTTGCAGATTCGCAACTACAGATTAAGCGAGAAGGAGTAGGACAGCAGTATAGCGGCGGCAACGGTAAGGAAGAAGCGCAGACTCTGGGGGATGTTGGAGCGCGAGATAACGTGCACGGTTTAGGCTGTATGTACTAAGCCGGTCGCGGAACAAGAATACGCGCTACTGCAGCTGCGACATTCTAGCTGCTACATACATGTGCCATATTGTATACGTTAGCTCGTGCATGAAAGAAAACGTTCTTGGCGGAAAAAGATGATTAAAAGACGACATGAGAGCAACGTCCTTAATTTAAATTTTCTTGTCTAGCTAGATACATTATCCACACTGTTTAAAAATAAAGTTTTCAAATATTAAAATAATCGAGAAAATATCAAAGTCAATTTGGTATTTTGCCGAACATCTTTTTTTTTTTTTTAAGTTTTATAAGAAAAAATTGCTACTTGAATCATGCGATATAATCAAAGAATAACTCATTCATTAGACTTTTTGAAGAGCTATGAATTTATTTTAGATCTTTAATCATTTCTTTCCTCTAATTATTCTATTATTATTATAAAGTCTCTAATAATTATAATAATGAGTATTTTGAATAATATAATATTAAATTAAGAAAAAAATAGCACGTTTAATTTATGGCTTCTTATTTTACACGATAATCGTAAATCTTATAGCAGGGACACTGAATATTTTATCATTGCCTACGTCTATCGGGAATATGTTCGGATTGCGCTCGAAACCGCGCAATATAGTTGCTCCTGGAAAATAGCTTTCATTCGTGGCAGAATAATTGAGGTCACCGCACCACTTCGATGAACGCGGAAATCGGCCGAAATCCCGAAAATCGAATTTTCCGCCTTCGCTCCAATTTCAGTCGGCTTTTAATAAGTCAACAGACAAGCTCGCTCGATATTCAGCCCAACGTGCGGTACCACGGCACAGGCCAATACCGAAACGGTCGCCCTCCCCGTCCGCGTCGTCGTCGGGGCGAAGGCGCGCAGTTCGCGTTTCGTTCCAACGCGTCACGTGCACGCCGTCACCGCGAACCACTTCAAATCTGACACCGCATCGGCGCACGTACGCAGCCGGTTTAAGCGGGCATGTTTGCACTGCCAGTGTTCCGCTAACGAACCTATATCCAACCACCCCGAACCCGTCTCGCGAACCCTTAGCGACCCCGGTTGACTCCTCGTCGTCGCTGTATTCAACTGCCATGTTTCACTCCCCGCTTACGCATATTCGCTTTAATGATATAAGTCGAAACGCCGCGAAACTCTTGACGCGTCGAAATCGTTTCTCTAGAATTCTAATTCTCAATCGCGGCACGTCACGCCGAAGAGAAAGCGCATTTCTTCTATTTGCATACGTAAAGACCAATTTTTTTTCAAAGATATCAGCAAATTATTTCTGTACTTTTTTTCTTATTTTTTTTTTTAAAGAACGTAAGTATAAATACATTGCAAAAAATGTTTATATGTTATAATTTTCTATTGTATTTAAATTTTAATCTATTTCGTTTATTTCTGATTTCTAAAACATATAATAATGTCACCATCGGAAAAAAAAGACGATTCGATGGCTGTGCCGGTAGAGTTCTTTTGTAGATCTCAAGTCAGAAAATAAAGAGGCAGGAAACAATACAACATTCTCCAAAGAGTTAAATGTATTCATCAATTGTTTAGATTTACCGAAGAGATACTCGGAGGCTAATTCAAATGCGAGAACTAGAGAAACACGGTCAAACAACTGTTAGTGCACGAGTCAGTAGGGAAGAGAAGGTGAGTTGTTCCCTGTCAGAAACAGTTACAAACGCGTTTAAGGAAGTTAAATCGGGATGTTTGTTCCTCAACATTTGGCGGCTCTGGCTAAATTCAAGGATTTGCGAGATTAGTTTCAATTTTGAAGAAAATATAGCAGCCGATGTGCAATGACACGAATGTTTGCATGGCCAAATGGCTAATAATTCCAATTTATAAGCTTGTTGTGTTGTTAACGTACCGCTACGAAACGTTTTAAACCTTTGTATATCGATTAGAATCGTATCGGCTTAATTTGAAATATTTAATTTCTCATTTGCATTGCGCGGACAAGTGCCTGACAATGCTAACTTGCGAGATAAACTCGTCGCTGCGAAATGTAAACGGGGCTGAACGAAGCGACCGAATTTGGAAGCATCAGGTGTTATTATTTGAGGAAGGCGCGAAAGGCGCGGAAAAACAATGGCGCGGACGCTGCTGCCGTCCCGCGTAAATAAAGAGATAATTTATGATCGTTACACAATGATCGTCATAAATCGCATTTCTACTGGTCGACAGAACGTGCCGTTATGCGAGGAACTCCGCTTCCGCCCGTTAGCCTCAATCCCACCCCCGCACCTCCGTGCCGCGCCGCACTGTCGATATTTTACCGCGGGAACGCAATACACGGCTGGCATAATTTATCTGTTTTCAAATATGCCCGCGCCGATAGATTTACATATTTTAATATAAATTCCTAAATGCCGGCCCCCGTCCATACAGACAGCCCCATGAAGCACCGAGTACGTCTTTATCGATCATCATCCCGCCGCTCTCCTGTGCTTTATATCTTGCTTCTTATATACCCCCGCCTTTCCTTAATGTAACAGCTAAGAGCACCTAAAAGTGACGAATAAAAGCGACGGATTCTTTACATGTCCTCGCGTTATTAATTGTACCCTAGAAAGTAAAATAATAGCGCGGGACTATCATACTATCATAACTTAAAGCTACCTGAGCAATTTTTTTATAAGTGTTTAGGAGGAATATAATCAGTTTATAACTAAATATATATAACAATATTTAAATATTTAAATATATGTATAGTTTTGATTGATTAGAGTTGTATATAATGTTAATAGTTTAATAATTATTATATAATATTGTATTTATTATTGTAGCTCTGTAAAAGAAGAAAAATCCTTGATTAAATGATATCGATATCATATGCAACCTTCGAAATAAGCGATGAATTGAATGTAGTATCTCATCCATAACTACACACTAACTGCGAGAAACGCAGAGATCTAATCACAGAGCTAGAATACACTTAGATTTTGACAGGACCCGACATCCGATGCATGCCGGGAAAATCGATTTTCCTGATAACGCGACGCGATTCCAACTGCTCGAAGCACGACGGAACTTGTTTGACACCTTAACTATCGCTCGCACTCGAATGCCTCCCTGGTTGACAGTCGAGCTTGGTACAGTGTGTGTCGCTATTATCGGAAGTTCATGTTTAGAGAAGCACGCACACGGATGCGCAACGTGAAGATAACGGGAGACGTCCGTTTGTGTATAGGAAACGCGCATTTCGATCGTTCACGTATAAATGCCAAATGACATCGCTATATTTGTCATGCGCCAAGCAGGATGTAACCACTGGATGCATGTAGCAGCCACTTCGTCGAAATTTGAATACAACGATTGCACGTAAATGTATTGCCGATAACGTTGCCTCGCGATAAGCGGAATTTGTCACAATCTGAATTTCGAGTATATCTTTTTAGTGCGATATTTATAAGTACAAGGCATCGCGCGAGACAAACATAGCGATATCCGATAGCTGATATTTGTCTGCTGATTACATATTGACCATAAATTTCGAGTGTACATTCTTGCGTTGTAGAATACACAAAAAAATATCTTTATGGTCATTTTTATTGTATTCTTATAAAACAAAGATAGATATATACAAAATTCCTATCTCAGATTTTATTGGATTATTTATTTTCATTTTCTAGATATAAGTAAACGTACATTACAGAAAAGATAACATTAGCGAAACTATTAAGTGAAATGTAGACAGTATTACGATAAAAAAAGAGCATTTTTTCATATAAAAAATGCAAAGCAACATGAAAGCTTAGTCTTCACGAACCTCAAGTTTCCTACTTTATTATTAGCGTAAAGTTGTTTCTTGTAAAGTTGTTGATGCATTAAAAGACGGGCATCTTAGTGGAGATATTCTTCATGGCAACTCCCCGGTATGCTGGATGGTAAGCTCCGTAATCTGCAATAAGTAACGCATAAAACAATTTTCCTATATTTATTAGGGAGGAAGTACGTTAACGATCGTTTGAACCTGAACTTCTGGTCGCGTTCCAAGAGCATAAATGAGTGCATCCGCTATGTCTTTCGGTTGAAGAGTTGGTACTTTCTCGAAAAAGTCTTTCATTTCCTTCGAATCCATACATATGTTCGTTTTTACAGTACCAGGACTAATGCTCTAAAAAGACCGTACAAGTAATAGTCTATAATAATTATTTGCATTAATAAAAAGACGTGTGCCTGGTAATATTTTGCATAAAAATAATATATTATGAACTTTATAATAACACCTGATGTGTTACACTCCTGATATATACATATGTATAAGCAGCGACCATTGTTTATTGCGGCTCTTATTCTTTTGTCGCAGATAGTTTGTCGCCAATATATCAATATTGCGATATTATACATAATATTTAACACGTTCTATTAATTATATATAAATATTATCATCTATATAAAATAACATTAAAAAATAGAACAGCAAGAAATGAAAACTCGAAATATGATCGCTTACGGTAATTCGAATAGGAGCCTTAATTGATGCTAATTCTCGTCGTACTACATGAGTCAGAGCAACAGACCCATGCTTAGTAGCGGGATACAGATTGAAATCAGCCAACAAACCCACCGTCGAAACATTCGTCAGTAAATAATGGCCTATAACACTGCACATCAAAAGTATTAATATTAAACATATATTGCACAGTAAATAAACGTTAAATTTTCTAAAAAGATTTCTCGCAATCCTTGTCTTATAATTTATAAAAAATTCAAAAAAATATTTATCTTACGAAAATCTATTTATTCTAAAGATTTGTGGGACTTATTTCAGTCATTGTTAACGTACGAATCATAGGTAACAATACCTGTTGATATTAAAAACATGTCCTTCGATGTTTCGTTTGCGCATCGAACGCACCGCTTTGTTGATACACACTGCGACTGCGAGGACATTAATATTTAACAGTCTTTCGAATGTCTTCCTGTCGCTCTCTGCAAGTGTAATTTATGGAATATTTTTAAATGCGCCAAGAGGAAATGTGCGACGGAGAAAATCTAAGTCTTTTATTGTAATACTGTCAGTATATCTCTGAAGGAGATATAACCCTTTCGTAAGAGAGGCCGCTGCGTTTTTGAGCAATCTTAATAACACTTCACGATCAAAATTAGATTTTTAAATGAGATATTTAATCAGTTCTCAAATTCTTCAAATACTCCAAAATACTAAAACTTTGACATTTGATTCTTCTATAGAAAGATGTATATTTATACATTCTTTCTTTTAAATGGATTACAATATTCGTTATTTTTCGAAAAAAAACTTTTTAAAATGTATAAGTTCATAGTTTCAAATTAATATTAACCTGGTTGCATATTAAAATTAAATGTACAACATACATATTATATTTTTGTAGTTAATCACTAGAGAGCTATAAGAGCATACAAATAATATTCATTTCTAATAATAACTTAAAAGTCTCTATACTTATTTGTGATATTCTATATAAATATGTGATTTATCATACCTATTACTCGTGAAAATTCGCTAACGCCAGCATTGTTGACCATAACATCCACACCACCTAATGTCTCAATATGCGAGAATGCCGCATCGATCTCGTCCTCGCGAGTTATATCGCAGCATATGGTATGTAACGTGCCCGGGAAACCTTCCCGCCTGCATTCCGCATCGAGTTTCGCTAATCTTTCTTTCTGGACATCCAGAGCGGCCACGTTCACTCCGTTTTGCAGAAGAGCACATGTAATTGCTTCGCCGATGCCGGATGCAGCGCCGGTAACGACTGCGGTTTTACCAAGCCAACGATCCATAATTGCCTGTCTGCAAGTACGACGTAGCTCGCGGTTGACATGCCACTAATAACTACCGAGCCGAAAATAATATCAAGCTGGTAAAAAGCGTAATCATGAGCATTCACAATCGCAGCGACGTTAAATTCAGCCGTGAATTTGTGGAAATGGCATTTCGATTAACAACACTAACGCTGACTTATATATTATACTTACATGCGTATCTCCTATTCGCGACTGTCAGTGAAACTGGTTTGTCACAAAATGCACTGCAAAAATCGTGTTATTCCGATACGAAATGGTAGTTGCTGCAGTGATAAAAAATTATCTGACGCAGCAGGTCAAACCGGTCACATCAACGTTGATGGTATAACACGAACTACGCAAGTCACGTAATGTCGTAATATAATCGGAGCAATTCTGATATGAGTGAATCACTCTTTCACTCGGAGTGGGGTTGCTAAACTCAGAGATTGCATATGATTGCACATGATGACACGGACGAGTGTATAATCCTCTATAAGTGATTATAGTCAACACACCTACGTGCACACACATAAATTCACTCATTCCTTTACAAAAGTACATAGATACATCGTAGATAATAATATAACAAATTTATGAGTTCTGAACTTCCAAATTAAGGACTAGAATAAAGATCTGTCTATATAAGACGTGTATATATATATACACATTTTATAATTTTTTAAATAATATTATTGTATAACTTTTTTTATGTCTATATATTATTATATTAATTACAAAATCACAGTAATTGATGTATTAATACATCCTTGCTATTATTCAAAATAAAAGAAAGAGATAAAGATTTCCCTTAAGGAGCAGACGCGAACGAGCCATTAATTTTCTTATAATCCACAGCCAGCAAACTGCTATGTTAAAAGTTTTTATACTCGTATCACACAACTCTAATAGAGAATATTCTGTGAGGGACCATTTTTCGTCGTAGACGTGTCCCGAACGTTGAGCACGTATAGGCCAGACGCATCATAGAAAAGGACAGAGATCCTTCGGCTTAGGTTTATCCGTTTACCCACTGGTTCCGTCCTACGGTTTTGCCACGGCCTTTACTTGTTTTAAGTGAAGCGCGACGTGACCTGCCGCAATCCCCTTCGTATCCACGTACAATCACATTGGCTTCTGCGTACCGTCTCTGAACCAATCTCTTCCGCGGAGACATCGGGCAGAATATCAGGATATTTCGAAATCCCGGAGATTCCGGCAGACGACTTCTAGAGACCTATCCCGTTCCATAAGAGGGGATTTTATTGTCAAAATATACAATACAAATATCTCAACTTATGACCGTCAGAAGTTTAGGCTTCGATATCTTACCGAAAAACATTCATCTATATACCTATATGTTTAGATTAAAAAAAATAATTTGAGATACTCTGAAAACAAAATTAACGTTAAACAAATATATTCTGCGTAAATAATATAGCGAGCAAAAAATGCAAATATTACTAAATCGATTGGATTGATTAATGCTTTGTAAACCTGGAATATTTATAGAGAGAAACAGGAAGAATGAAAAGCATCGCGATCTCTTCTAACATGTCTAATAAGTAATGGATAAAATTCAGCAAATGACCGTGTTTCAGCACCGAATATCATATATTATATACGCGATTTTCATTTATTATACAAACGAAAAATACTAGATGAAAAATTGGCTGTAAAATTTTGTATTTTATTTTATTGCACAGCGTAAAATTTATTTTTCTATTGACAATTTTGCTATCTGGGATTGGTAATCTCGAATCTCGAGATTCAGAATAGGGACCGCTGCCGTCGCCGCCGCGCCTTTTCCTCCTCTCGCTCTCTCCCCTTCTTCACAGATAAACGATACTCGTTTCCGGACGCAATAACAACGGCGTGTATCGATCTTCGTGAGCCGGCATCTGGTGTACCGGGTCCGGTGCCGGGCCGAGAGCATTATTCTTGTTCACGCAGGACGACGAGGAAATCGACAAGAAAACAGGAGGAGGCTTCTCTCTCGCTTCCTGGCCCGGTCCGGCCCGCCAGATGCTACTACTACTCGACCATTTCTCAATGTTGCCGTGATTACGCGCATCGTTCCGCACTTACTACCATGGATTCATGTTTTTTTCATAGGCGACAAATTATATAACGACTTGCGGGTACGTGATCTCGTTAAACTCAAGCGAAATTATGAGAAATATGGTATAAAAGATCAATTTCTCTGCGAGATGAACGATATTATATTATGTATGCATGAGCAAGAAAGAGCTATATGTTTTCCTTTTATAAAATTTTTCAGTATAAAGTTTTTCTCGAACTACTAAATATTTTTTTAGCAAAAATTTATGACATGTTACATAAATATAGAATTATTTAATATTAAAAACTGAATAATTAAAACAATATAGATTTCTTTCAATGCTAAATGCTTATATTTAATTCATTTCAAGCAAGAAAACGAGTATATGTGTGATCCAACACAGTCTGTACAGAATATGTATATGCGCGCGCGTTTTGAGATTTTCTTAAATATTTTACTTACTCCGCAGAGTGCTTTGAAGTCGATGAAAGGCGAGCGTATTTCTTCAGATATCAGAAATGTTCGGGCACACGACTTAAGAAGTAACGACCTTCGAACCAAAAATATTATTATACTCCGCGCCAGCTGACGAGGAAATCAAAAAGAAAGGTGGAGGAAAGCTGTGTTCTTCGATTCCGGAGCGCCATATGCTTCTGCCGCTTGGCTATTTTTCAACGGGTCGTGATTACATACACCAATCCGTATTGCTACAAGCTCTAAGCTTCCCTTTCTTACAGTATACGTAACCATGAATTGCACGTATTAAACGCGAAAGAAAAATAAATTTCAACAAATTGAAAGTTGGTTATAGTACCAATAGAATAAGGAAAGCTTCAGAATAAACTGTGACACGGACGCGGACATTTTTAAGACGAATGTAATCTTTCCGTATAAGCGTTTGATAAACCATTACTTTCTCGGAAAATAGATAAGAATTTAATCACTACAATCTTACAACTTAATTCGAGAAAAGTTTTCATATTTTATTTATTTACTTCTTATGTACGTTACGTGTATGTATATCCTCGCCGTATTTCCAACAGCTTCGGTGAAAACATATAACCGGTCGACTTCTGTCCAGAATCTTCGATTCTACAGAAGTTTGGCTTTACACGTCGTTTCCGCCGGCCAGATGTGGAGAAACGACCATTGGGCGCCCATAATTTTCGAGTTATCGAAAAAACTTGGGATCTGAAGCGAAGCGGGTGCCCGCCGAGAATTTCCGAAACTTTCTTTCCTCGCCAGGTGCAAACGAGATGCAAACAACTCGGCTGCCAGACCATTTTGAAAATTCCGAGCGGGTCATCCAAGTAGCTTCCGCGTGCGGGAAATGCAAAATCAGCCGCCTACGCGTTCGCGCGAGCATCCGGCTTCCAATAACTCGAAAACTATGATAGTTCGATTGGGGGGGGGGGGGGGGGGGAGGAGATGCGGCTTTTAAAATCTTAGCGTGACAAATAAAGTCGAAAAGGAACATGAAAGAAAATTTCGAAAATCCGGACTCGTTGACCCACTTCAACTTTCCGAGTTGAAGTAGTTGCTACCGGCGTGATAAGACGCAAACGAAGTGCGGCGACTTTGTCCAACAAAAACTCTGAAACTTAAGAGCGAGTCCATCGCGAAGTTCTCCATTACCGGCCCTCGGAAAACTGTTTGCGTAATATGTAGGACATAAATGGAAACGAAATTCAAGAAAGTCGCGACAAAGTTACATCGCGCGGAGAGAGTCACGAGTTTCTTTTGTCCGTTCGTTTAATTATTCCTCCATTTCTCAGAGATTCATATTTATCCGGCGTGGAAATAAACTCGAAAATCTATGATGTTCGCGGCAAAAAAACGCTAACTAGAAAGCGCGTCGTCCCGAGCGGGGATGAGAAAAATGAAGAAAGATTTACCCGTTTTCCGCTTCAAAGCACCAGATGTTCCCGTTAGTCGGCTATTTCTCAACGACGCCGTGATTACACGCATCACTTTGTATTGCCGCAATATCGCGTGTTTCTTTTTCTGATAGCCGCAAAATATGCATGATACAAGCGAGCGTTGTAGAAACTTATTCTAAGCTGTATGTCATATTACGATTAACGAATAAATATTTCTTCGCAATTTTATAGCAATCGATAAGATTATTACTCATTCAATTTCCATTGTCTTAACGTTTTCATTTAAAAAAAGAATAAATTCTCAGTTTATTGAATAATGTGTCACTAAAAATTGATGATAGTGAGATTTATATAAACTGAACTGAAGAATTATTCAGAACGTGTTTTCCAAATTTCAATAGCGGATCTATTTTGCAAGAAGCATTGGTAGAAAAATACAACAGGTCAAGACATGCAGACCCATGCGAAAAAGATGTCTGCAAGAATGATCAATTCTTGATTTCCGAGAGTATCCCTGATTCCACTTGACGAGGACGGAGATTCCTATGACAGACAGCTTTATAAAGAGCTCATCTCTAACGGAGGTTGTTGCCTGGAAGTTATTTGGAAGCCTATTCGGAAGTTTAAAGGAACTATCGAAGAACAGCTGAGAACACATAGAGCGAGAGACGGCATTCAACTTCGTTTCCGAAGCAATAAACGATAACGGACGGTATCGACGTTCTTTCAAGCTATCGAACTAATCTATAAACGTGAAGTAACTGGTTCCGCGTTCTTATAATGTCAATTCCATATCTTCGTTCATCAATCTCGTTTCTTACATTTAAAAGATAGATGTGTACCTCTATATCTAAAAGATAATACATATAAATAAAACACTTATAGAATAAAAAATGCTTATAAAAAATAACCATTTCATTAATAATGCTAACAATAAGTAGGTTTAAATTTAATAGATATTTCTATTACGACAATAAAGAAAAGAAATTTTCATTTAAATTATGCTCAACAAAATAATGAATCGTCGTGAGTCTTGTCCTAATGCAATAATAAATAACTACTGAAATCATTTCAAACTTTTTCCGTTTACTGAAGCATGAATAAATGGCATCGGTACTTCATTTCGATAGTTTCCTGTAAAATATCTTCGACACTTAATAATCGCCATCGATGTCACAACGGAGTACATCCTGTATTGGACATATTTTACGAGAAAGGAAGAAGCGTTTCTCTCTCAACATTCTAATAAAAAAGGCTAAAGCGAACAAAGAAATACAGAAATACGGAATGCTTCGACGTGACTCTAAAAATTCCGCCTGACAGCATTCCTGTTTAATTTATATCATTATCGAATTCTTTGTCTATTTCAGCGACTGCATTAAATTACATCACATCTATGTTTTATGTTTTCAACA